CCCCCCGAGGGGCCCCCCGAGGGAGGCCCCCCCCTTGCTTGGGTGGGGGCCCCCTCCTCCTTTTTGTCCCCTTCAGATCCCTGGGAAGGGCCCCCTGGGGGCCCCCCTGGGGGGCCCCCTGGGGGCCCCTCAGAGGGGGCAGGGTTGAGATAAAGATAGGGATTTTGAGGGACTGCTCGGGGAGGCAAAAGGTCCTTTACACATTCGGGAATGGCCAGGGCCTGAGACCCACGAGCAGCAGCAGCAGCAGCAGCAGCAGCAGCAGCGTCAAGCGCCCACTTAATATAAAGCCCTGGTGACCACTGGTTACTAGCTGGAGGTGTACATACACTGCAAAAGGGCGCAAACCGCATCTACCCCAAGCCCCAAACCCTAAACCCCAAACCCTAAACCCTAAACCCTAAACCCTAGCGCACGAGTGCGTCTGGGTAGTTGATGCGCATGGCCTTCTCGAGGGCCAGCTTGATGAAGAGCTTTGTGGAAGGGGGCCCCCTTCCAACTCCAACCCATTCTTCCAGCAGCTTGCTGGGGCCCCCCCAGGCATTTAACCAGTACCCAAAAAAGTCCGACAAAGTCTGCAGCAGCAAACCCACTGCAGCACCAAATCCACTGCAGCTGCAAGCCCACTGCAGCAGCAAACCCACTGCAGCAGCAAACCCACTGCAGCACGGGGCCCCAAGGCCTCCACGGGGGCCCCCTGCTGCAGCAGCAGACCAAGAGCATCTCTGGGGGCCCCAAGAGATGCTGGTGGTCTTTAAGCTAAGGGGCCCCGTAAGATCTGTAAGATGAGGGGCCCCTGCAAGATGGAGGGCCCCCGTAAGATGGGAGGCCCCTCCAGCCCGCCCTGAGAGCCCCAGGGGGCCCTCAAGGGGCCCCCAGGGGGGCCCCTGGGGGCCCCCTGGGGGCCCCTGAAGTGGAGAAGGAAGAAAGTGTTGCATTTGGTGGCTCAAATGGACTTACTAGAAGGGTTTGGTGGTCCATGTCAATAGAGCGGCGCACAAGACTTGTAAGAAGAGTCTCAACAACAGAAATGAGAGGGTTTTGCAGCTGGCAGAGGCGGTGCAGCAGACGGGCGTAGGCAAAGGGGGCCCCCGAGGCGCCCCTGATGATCGGAGAGCGAGGCAGCCGCAGCATTTCGCTGAAAAGGCACTAAACGCATGCAAATATAATGCAGAAACAAACAAAATAATTAAAAACTCGAAGAAAAACGACTTCGTGGTGGCTGCGCTTTCTTTCGGCGCTCACGGGCGTGCCAATTCAGGTGTACATACACCTCACGTTTGCACGCCGGCACCTGCTGCGGATCTTCGGATTTAAAGCCTCAAAAGAATAAAAAGAATAAATGCAAAAGCATTAAAAGGGAAATAAACCCATTTTATCAAAAGATCTTTGCAGAATATTCAAAGAAGGCGGCACCTGGCACGCGGGTCTGCTGCAACGCGATTGCAGGAATTCTTGAAACCAATCTGCTGCTTCTGTAATGCCATTATTCCATTATTCCATTATTCCAAGATTAAAAAACATTTATTTCCATTTATTCACCACTGCATGCATGCAGAGAGAAGAAGAAACGAAGCTGGAGGCGCAAAAACAGGCGCCGCAGCGCAGCACCCCGTACACGCCCAGCTAGGGTCTAGGGTTTAGGGTTTAGGGTTTGTGGCTGACCTCCACCAAGACGTAGTCGAACTGCGGGTGGTCTACTGGCACTCGCAAAAGCTGCTCCGCACAAAGGGAAATGTTTGGCAAAAAGTTTCGAAGAATTGTCAAAAAATAGTCCTCCAGTATCCTGAGGTGTACGTACACCCCAGCACACGCGCCAGCCCCTCATGCGTACACCCCAAAATGCAAAGCCCTCATGTTCAATCCACCTTCACCCTAAACCCTAAACCCTAAACCCTAAACCCCCCTCAGCACTGGGCCCTTTTAAACCCTAGAGCCTGGACCTTCCTAAACCCTAAACCCTGAACCCTCCTAAACCCCCCCAAACGCTCCAAAACCCTCCAAACGCTCCAAAACCCTCCTGAACTCAAGCCCTGGCCCGAACCCCCTCCAAGCCCCAAACCCAAACCCTAAACCCCAAACCCTAAACCCTAAACCCTAACCACTGGTCGTGCGGGGGGAGGGGAATGTCGACGTGCTGCAGAGACGCGGGAAGCCTCAGGAGGGTTTCCAGGGGCTGCATGCGGGGCAGCAAAAGTTGGGGTTTTATATTTTGCAAAAAAGGAAACTCCAAAAGGGGGGCCCCCTCTGCTGCAGCGGGAGACAAGAGGGGCCCCAACTCGCTGGACTGGTAAAAACGCAGAGTCGTGCGCGAGTGCCACTCCGCCTGCGACAAACCCTAAACCCTAAACCCTAAACCCTAAACCCTAATCCCTGAGCCCCAAACCCTAAATTCTACATCCTACGCCCCGAACCCTGGACCCCGAACCCTGAACCCTACTCCCTAAGCCCTGAATTCGGAATCCCAAACCCTAAACCCTAAACCCTAAACCCTAAACCCTCACGTCGATCATTGAGTCGATTGCATCCAGCAGCGCCGCCAGTCTGTCCGTGGTGCTCAGAGTTGGGGGGGCCTTTGCCTCGGGGGCCTCTCCCTGCCGTTCTGGGGGCCCCCCTGCGGGGGGCCCCCCCCC